CAGAGATCCTCCTGCCTCCTGTCTCCTGAGTGCTGGATTAAAGGTGTGCACTTTTTTTTTTTTTTTTTGTGGCATCAATTTTACTACAGGTTTCTCTGGTATCACTGTCACTTGAATGCTGGCTGTTCCCCAGAGGCTGGCTCCCAGCTCCGCTCGATTGAAAGGTAGTGGGACCTAGTGGGAATCCTCTGAAAGGGACCGTGGAGACTCAGCAACCAGGACACCATGATAATCAGCTCCTGTCAGAATGAGACTCATCAGAGACCCCAGAGCAATGACGCTAATTGACCATGGATGGCTACTTTCCAAACTGTGAGAAAAGCAAACAGAAAAAAAAAAAAAAGCTTTTCTTTGCACCGTTAAGTTCTTTATCTTCCACACGTGTTAAAGCGACAGAGTGGATTCAGTAGGCTAAAGTGAGCTACAGTAGAGATAACCCTCTCCATCATGTACACACGTACACAGTCCACATCCAGGCTTTGTGCAGAGGTCCAGTCCTGGTTTCATGTGTCTCAAGTGGCCTGGATTGCCGCACTGGGCCGGTCCGTGTCTGTCCTCTGTGTATTCGAAACCTGCTCTCTGCCGGCACGATGCTCTTTAAGAGCCGGATCAACAGCGCCCCCATATGGTCGCAGGCGGATTTTTCCCTCTGTGGTGGTTGTCTCCACTGGGTTTCCAAGTACCAGATACCTGATGGAGATTGAGCTGCAACTGTTTGCTGTGATGTAGAGACACCCAAAGGAAGACAAGAGGAAAGATCAAGTCCTTATCTCTCTCCCTCTCCTCCCTGACCTTTAGTGTGGGCAAAACCCGGAGAGCCAGCCGGTGAGAAAGCTAGGCTGTGCAGAATTCATTTTCTAGCTTCTGTAGCTAATGCTATGACACCCAGGGCTGTGCTGGCCTGAAGGGACAGCTCATCTGGCATTAGGCTTTCTAGGGATACTGACCAAGCATCCCTAGAGCCCACTGTTGACCCAATCTGGGTGTCTGGGCCCTCACCCACTCACTGTTCCTAAGGGATGTCTACCTTGCTCCCCTCACCTCAGACAGGCACTGGACACCTGGGGAAGGGGTGAAAGAAACATGGAACCAAGATAAAGTTCTCTGATCAAGGCTCCAAGTTTAATATTCAGCACTTTGTGTATGTAGGGGAAGCCCCACCGAACCCATCCTTTGTTTAGGCTGGATTATGTCACAAGGCAAGCTCAGAGGGCAGTTTGTTCTTCTAAGATACTGTAGGAAGTTGTACGTGGAGCCAGGGTGGATGACTCCACCTGGGTCGTTAAGGTCCTGCGGCAAACAAGGTCTTTCTGGCCCGCTCAAGGCTGGGGGAGGGCACAGCTGAGTGACTTGACCTGAGGGCTTGGTGGGTGTAAGTGCCCCACTCAGGAGACAGTGTGAACTTCTTAGCACTGATTTCCTGGTGACTGAAAGAAGGTAACCAGGCCATGGCTGGCGGGATATTGCCAAAGGGGATGGAAGAAGGGAGAAACGCAGGTCTCTTAAGCATTCTCTCTGTCTTATATTTAGGAAGGATTTCCACTTCCTGCTCTGTAGCCCTGCCCTGGTCCTAGGTCCCTGCCTGTACCTCAGCTCTGGTATATGCTACATCAAGGGTACACCCTGAGAGAACAAGACACCATGTAGAAGACAGCCAGAGGCCAGTGGACTGATGCTTCTATTACCTAGAACAAGGTAAGTCTGAGGACTGGTTTTGTTTGTTTCTTTTCTTTTTTTCTTTTCCTTTTCCTTCCTTCCTTCCTTTCTTTCTTTCTTTCTTTCTTTCTTTCTTTCTTTCTTTCTTTCTTTCTTTTTTTCCGAGACAGGGTTTCTCTGTGTAGCCCTGGCTGTCCTGGAACTCACTCTGTAGACCAGGCTAGCCTCGAACTCTCGAACTCAGAAATCCGCCTGCCTCTGCCTCCCAAGTGCTGGGATTAAAGGCGTGCACCACCACTGTGGCTGTTTGTTTGATTTTTGAGACAGGGTGTGTCTGTGTAACGGCCCTGGCTGTCCTGGAACTCACTTTATAGACCAGGCTATCAGACTAGCCTTACACTCTCAGAGCTCCACCTGCCTCTGTGCTGGGATTAAAGGTGTACGCCACCACGCCCGACCAGCTGTTTTAACTTTCTAGAATAAAGCAAACAGCCATCCACACTCCTAGGCAGGCATCAACAGAATGGAAACTAGGCAGGTGTAGGGAGTAGTGGACAGACAGGATAACTCACAGGCTGGGAGAGTCACATGGGTGGCACTGGCCCTCTGGGCACTATGTGCCTCCACTTGGACCAGCAGGCTGACCTGACACAGGAAAATCCTGGTTTTCCTGCTTTGACTGCACCTGGTGGCCCCAGAGACAACTCTCCAACCCAGTGGGCTTCCAGAGGCCCCAGGCATCACTGATACTGGGCAGGGCTATGGTGTGGGTGCCTTTGTCACATCCCTTGGCTGGGGCCTGGCCTACTGGAACCAGTCAGAGGACTCCATTTTAGTGCAGAAATCCCAGTTGGGGACTCCCTTTTCTGTTCAAGGCAGTAAAGCCTGGCTCAGTCCAATCACAGAGACTCTCAGGCAGAGGAACTGATGCCTGTTTTTTTATTTTTAGGCTACTGTTTGGTTGGGGAGGGGGCCCATCCTTCTTATGCTCCCCTAGCATGAGCTAGAGGTGACTTAAGCTTACTTGCCAAAACAGTCTGTTTTTTAGATTAATCCCAGGAAGGAGGAGGAGGAGGAGGAAAAGGAGGAAGAGGAGGAGGAGGAGGAAGAGGAGGAGGAGGAGGAAGAGGAGGAGGAGGAGGAGGAGGAAGAGGAGGAGAAGGAGGTAGAGAGAGAGAAAGAGAGACCTCTACTTCCCATAAAGTCAGAACTTGGTAATATTGTGACAAAAACCACTTATCCAGAGAGAATCAAAGTCTGGTTAGAAGCAGAGGTGGGTTGGAGACTCCTGACAGGACCCGCAGGTAACGGAGGCAAGGTGCACTTCAGTGGTTGAGAGGCATTGGGAAGAAAGTGCCTCCCTGCTTCCTTGAAGCTTGTTCCCTTGGAAACCACAGCCAGCGCTGAAGAAACTGGAGATGCTGGTGTGCTGCCTCCAGAGCCTTAACCAAGACCAGGCGGCCCCTAGTGGCCGATGCTGGAACTACACCTGGGGACTTACCCTGTCCCTCCCCCAAAGCTCTCTGCCGACAAGGAGCCCACGGTGATTTCAGCACGGGGTGTGTGTGTGGGGGGGGTGATTGATAGAGCAACTAAAACATGGGTAGAGGGGAACGGTGGGTGGGCAGACGATAGGAGATACACTCTAGGTGTTAGGAAAGGTAGAGAAGCAGATGGAAGGCTACAAAGAGGCATGAGTGCTTGACAGATGGGTGGAGACAGCGGGAGCGTGTGTGTGTGCAAGCAAGCTCATAGGCACAGGCTGAAGAGCTGTTCTATAGTGTGACCTTCCTGGAGATGTGATGGACCAGATAAGGGAAAAGAGATGCCAAGGGAAGGATCGGAGACATCTTCAGCCAGAACCTGCTGGCAGCTACCTCAGTTAGAGAAGTGGTGGTGTGCTCCCTTCAGCAGGGTCCTGTGGTCCTCCCCGGGGCAAGACACAGGTCACTGTATCTCAGCTTGTGATCACTGCTGATCCACAGGCTGTCCTCACCCCCCAAGGCTACTGCAGAGCATACAGCCTACCTAGATTTTTCCCAAGTTGGCTCCAGAGGGAGGGAGGGGGGCGCTCTTTCTTTTGGGGGTGATGAAAGGTTCTAAAATAGGCTGTTGCTCTGCACCTGTGATATGCCATCAAACTGGACATTTATGGCATTCGAACAGAATTCCACTTGTTTACTTATGTATTCATTCATTAATTCATTTTGAGGCAGAGTCTCTCTACATAGCCCTGGCTATTCTGGAACGCTAGACCAGACTGGCCTCAGACTCAGAGATCTGCCTGCCTCTGCCTCCTAAAGGAATTAAAGATGTGCACCACCACTGCCCGGCCAAACCAAGGATTTTTTTGTTTTGTTTTTTTTTCGAGACAGGGTTTCTCTGTGTAGTCCTGGTCGTCCTGGAACTCACTCGGTAGACCAGGCTGGCCTCGAAGTTGGAAATCCACCTGCCTCTGCCTCCCAAGTGCTGGGATTAAAGGCGTGCGCCACCACCGCCCAGCAAGGATTTTTTTTTAATCTTTTTTTTTCCCTTTAAAAATTTGTTTATGTATATGAGTACACTGTCGCTGTCTTCAGACACATCAGAAGAGGGCACTGATTCCTCACTTCAGATACCTATTGTAGATGGCAAGGACCTACCTCCCTGCATCAGTACCAAGGACTCCCTCTCTCCTGTGTGTTCATGTGTGTGTGTTCATGTGTGTATGGGATTGGGGAGGGGTCTGTTTTCTGACAGAGGTCACACAGTCAGAGGCAGAGCCTCTCCTGGACTGTCACCTCCTTAGGTCAACTGAACTGTCCAGGAAAGAACAAGGTAGACCAGGTGAGCACCCACGTGGACTGCCACACCCAACAGGGCAGGGCAGGGCAGGCTCCCACACTGTGAACAGGAGGTACGGCTGGATCATCTGGTTCACTCTCACAGCCTGGGGCTGTATGGAGGTGGCCAAGCCACAGACGGTCAGGTGAAGGCCACACGGCAGGGTCACACAGGGAACAGGGGCTATCACATGGAAGCCTACAACAGGTCAAGTTGATAAGCTTCAAAAAAGCCTGGTTGTTTTTCAAACAGCTGCCCTGGCAGCTGCACTCCTGGGTATTTCCAGGAAATATTCAAAAAGGACGGCCGCTGGCACCCAGGTCTGCTGCCATGTTCCCACACTAGAGTCTGGCACCAGCTGGCAGCCTTAGTGGCACCGGCCTGGGGCCCATGAGACGTTGGCGTGGCTGCTGTCTCACTGGTGGCCTCCACAGCTCTAGGCATGGCCCCTGGGCCAACTCCGCCACCCCCACGGCGCTTGGCTTAACCCCAGTACCCGGTAGAAATAAGACTCTTAATGCTTAAAGTTAACCAATGAATTTATATATCAGCAAATACTTAAATCACAAGATGCCCGCACAGATTAGACACGTTATCCCATCTATCCTAACCGTTTCAAGGTCTGGTTAAAGCCTCGCTCATGAACTTACATCTCTGCTGCATTTTCTCTCTCCGGTTTCTCCCTGCATTCCTGTCTCTGCCTCCCTTTCCCCTATCCAATCATAGGCTTCCTACTGCAAATAGATTGGACAGGGAAATTTCTGCCACACCTGGGTGTCTCCCCGAGAGCAGTAAAGACGCAAGCGCACAGTGTACACCTGAGCAACACGATTCCCTTACAGCTGAGGACACACTCCAAGTGCGCACAGGCATAATGAAACATATTCTAAGTGGGGTTATCTACCTCAGGAAGCTCCGGCACAGGCTACAGGCATAAGCCATGAGAACGGCTCAGTGAAATGCAAAGACCATGCACCACACAATCCCAAGTACGCATGTGCAGAGCAGGGGGCCCAGCAGACATGACACAGATCAGAGGCGGCCAGCCCAGGGAGGGGTTGCTGGCCAAAGCACACCAGGCGTAACTGCTGGAGGCGGCACAGTTCTGAGACTATCCTAATAACTCAGGAATAAGACAGTGGGTGGATGGTGTGCCCTGTGCCCGCTCTCAAAGCTGTTCACACAGGATTAAAGATGACCACTTTCACACAGACGATGCTATCCTCTGGTGTGCGTGACACTGCCTGATGTCCATCAATAAGGACCCAGAGACGATGACAGGGAACTTGGTGATTCATGTCTGAAGTCAAGCAGTTACTAAAGAGACTGTGGACAGAGAAGTGCTTCACAAGGTGGTGCTGGGGGCAAGCCTTCCTCAGGACATAGGCGTGGAATCCCAGGGCCTCACTCAATAGCAGGAACTGCAGGAACTGTACTGCTCAGCTACAGACTTTAGAGCCAGAGTGTCACCACGTCCGGTGACTGTCCCAAGCGGAGCAGCTCTCTCTGCGGATGGTGATGCATACTACCCATGATGTCCCCAGTGTACTCTGGGACGTGCTTAAGCTACCACAACCTCCAGGGGCACACAGATTGCTTTGGCACTGTCCTCCCTTCCCATGACCCCTCGCCTGGCCTCCTGCAGCCCTGGCTGCCCCAGCGGTGACCCCAAGGGAGGAACAAGCACACAGCAGCAGAGCCCAAGTCTGCTCTACTCAGAATGAGAGCTCAGTCAGGTCATGCCTAGGCCGACTGCTGGGGGCTCAATAAATGCTGTGTATACAGTGTCCCAAAGAGAGGTGGTGACAACAGCCAGGCCTTTCTGCCATGGCCTAGTCACCTCAGTCACAGGAACCTCCTGAAAACCCTCAACAGTGTAAGTCTGAGACTCGAGCACAAAGCATGACCCCAGGGGTACCTGGCAGGCTCTTGGCAAGGGTTTTCAGATACACATAAACACAAAAGTAGTTGAAAATACACACATCACCCAGGAAATGACACCTACTCCCCCACCCCCACCCACCTAGATATACACAAAGGGGAGAGGCGGCCATGTGCCGTAAGGACCCGCAGTTTATTATGTGGGCAGCCCAGGGCGGAGGGGACAGTGGCCACACAGTTACTTGGTTTTGTTTTCCTTAAAGCGGGGGGAAGGAAACTGAGACAGGGTTTTACTCTGCGACCCAGGCTGGACTCAAGTCTTTAGATCTTCTGGCCTCTCTGGCTAGGATTGGGCAGGGCCATAGCATATGTATGTACAAGTGAAATTGTGAGTGTTTGAAGTGAATTTCTGATATGCGGGTCACGCCTCTGAGGCAGGAGCATTCTCGAAGGCCAGGACTAAACCAAGGGTCTCCTCTACCATCCTCCTCCTGCCCCTCCCCTGTAGGAGGCTTAGAACCTCCGGCATCCAGAGGCCGCAGGAGCGTGCCCAACTACCCTGCCCCATTCCACCACATGCCAAAGGAGGCCAGCCGGCCTGGGCCGTGCATCTCACTTCTGTGATGACTGCTTCCTCTTCCTCTGTGGTTGCTGGACTCCAGCCCCCTTGGCTCTAGCCCCAGTTTTCCTCCTCTTCCCAGGAGGCTCTCTTTGGCCAGCCTTCTCATCCGTCTTCCTGCTCCTCTTCCTTTTCCTTCCTGGGTTTGGGCCTGCACTTGAGGTTTCTGCCTCGCTCCCCACTGTGGACAGAGTGAGACCCGTGATCAAGCTGCTGGGACAATATGGCGTATTTCAGTCACCTGACTCTTTAACTGCAGTGCCAGCCATGCCTGCTGACCAGGGGGCACCCATGTTGTGTGAACTTCGATCTGGGTACCAGGATGATGCCAGGGAGGGCTGGACTCAAGAACTGATCCCCAGAAAATCTAGCCAGAAGACAGGATGAAGGGCCCAGACATGGAGCAGGGTGTCAAGACAGTGCAGGAAGAGAGGTAGAGATGGCTATCTGACAAGAGGACCAGGGGCCATACCCCAAGGCCAGCAAACATAATTCAACCTGCTCTGTCAGAGCTGAAAGACAGTGTCTGGTCTGAGGCTGGGGCCAGGCCAAGGGCAGGCTGGTGAGAAGATACTGCCCAGTTGGGACCAATATGGATGAGCCTCAGTGCGGAGATAGCTGGGCCAGAGACAGGGTGAATACAGTGACCCTTCACAGGGCAGATCCTAGGTTAGCACATGACAAGGTTAGCATGTGAAAAGACTGTCAGCTCAGGCAGGGCCACTGACGAAGTACAGCAGGCCTTGGACACACTTTAGCAAGAGTGCCATAAGCCAGCACATACAGAGCAGGAAGGCTAGGGCTAGAGGACCTGAAACCAACAGGTACATGGGTGGAGAGAGTCAGGGTCATGAAGGAGACAGGACAGATGAGGCTCAGATCAAAGATGGCAAGAGAGTCAAAGAGAGGTGGTCTAGCCAGAGCACAGGCACCACAGACTGGGGGCGGTCCCCACTTCTGACCAAAAAAGGAAGAGTGACAAGTCCCCAGGGGTCCTCAGGCCAGGGATACTGGGGGCGTTTGTGCATGAAGGAAGTCTTAGGCAAAGGCAGGGCAGGCAGGGGAGACAAGGGAGGGGAGGCAGCCCATGTGCTAATCGTCACCCAGGGTCCTACCTTCCTTATCCTGGGGCTGCGGTTTGGGCAAGCGCTTCTTTTTCTTCTTCCGTTCCCGCCTCCCTTCCAGCAGCTTCTTGTAGGCTTTTTCAGGGACGTCATCCTCAGGGAAAGTGCCTGAGAACCAGGGTGACAGTCAGGGTGCTGGGGGAACAGGTTACCTCCATGCTGCCAGGCCTGCTCACATACCAGACTCCACGTGTTTAACCAAGACGCTGACATCCGTGTCTCGGTCCACATAGCCCCAGCTCAGGACCAGGGAAATGGAGGCAATCTGAGGCACACGCGCCTTGCCACTGTCTATTCTGTCTGGGCTGTCCAGGCTTATGCTGGGAGTGCATGAGGCTACACATGCACAGTGGTGACCTCTGCACTGCAGCGGGCTCCTGGGCACCAGTACAAACCCATCACACGCACAGCACACAAACACTCCAGTGTGAACTCCATCTAGAGATACTGGACCCGGGTTCAGGGCCTGCATGAAGCACCTCTCAGCCTAACTCTTCCCCCACCAGGTCACAGACTGCTGTAGACCTCTCGTGTGTGTGTGTGTGTGTGTGTGTGTGTGTGTGTGTGTGTGTGTTTGTGCACGCGCGCACGTGTGTACACATGTATTGGGGCGACCATCTCCATGTTCACAAGATCCTCACCTCCAGCCAGGTCCCGCAGCCTGAAAGAGAAGACAGACAACATCAGAGCTCAGCTGAGGCTCTGCTGGACTAGGCCTCGTGGGGACCCGCTCAGGGAGACGCCTTCCTAACTTCTGACTTTCCCCGGCTCAGGCTACCTCCTCACAGGACAACACACAGGAGTCAAGGGACAGGGGTGGGGCTGGGTAATAAGCAAACAGCTGACCTCCAGAAGGAGGCAGCAGGGTCGAGGCCAGGCCTCCTAACTCACTTTTGGATTACTTTGTAGAGGCGCTTCCTGTTCTGAGAAGGGGTGCTCTGTCTACTGGCGAGCTCGAACAGTCTGTTAGCAACTGCCTCGTAGTCAAACTGTTTCAAAAAGATGCGAGAAACACAAGATTCAGTCTGTGTCTACATGCCCCGAACACAAAACCCCACTTCCCCAGGCTGAGGAGACACTTGTCCATCAAAGGCATTCTCAGCCCAGCTTCAGGACCCCTCAGCATCCGCCAGCAAAGCCTGCAGAGACTCCAGCCCAACAGGCACCACCCCTGCCCAAAGGAAGCACCAAACGTCAGAAGGCAGCCTGGTCTCCAACTTCATCTCATTGTCTTTTTGCAACAGGGTCTTACTAGGTGGCTGGCCTGGAGCTCACCTCTGGGGGGCAGGGATTAGAGTCCCTCTAACTTTAACTCCCGACAGGCCACAGCAGACAGGTAGGAAGAAAAATGAAAACAGCCAACACATTCTATTTAACCCAAAATATCCAAACCTACTCATGGGATGGACTATCAGTAAAGCCTTCCTGACATCTGACCTCTCCAATCCGGGTGACCCGTTTCTTGAGCTGACTCAGAGCTATGACCCAGATGCAGACCACTAAGCCTGTGCCACCCTCAAGGCCAGCACCCCAATAATAGGATCAGACCTGGGGGTGCGGGCCACTCGCTCAAAGCATAAGAAATGCCACAGGGGTGCAGCGAGGCTGGCACAGCCCTGGCACCAATCTCTCAGCAGTGACCAGGAGTTTCCCAGAGGCCTGTTACCCATCCTTCCCTGAAAGCCAGCCTCCATGAAGGCTGTCTGCACATCCCTGTTGCTGTCCTTCCCCCTGGCAGTGGGTCTAGAGATAAAGGCTAATCTTGTAGTCCAGACATGGATGCCTACCTGGAGGACAGGGCCAGTGTTTTCCTCGTCATCCCACGCCTGCCCCTTATCTGCCTCAGGGTCAGCCCTATGCATGGTGCCTAAAAACAAATACGGAGATTGAACTCGAGGTACCATGCCTAATGTAGGGGAACCCCAATACCAACACCAAGCCACTGAGGACCCTCTTGGTCATGCACTGACACAGGCTGGGAAGGGCACAAGCAGCTGGTCTCATGGCGAGCGCAGAGATGAGGAATAGGCATCCCAGGAGGGGAGTGTAGGTCAGTAGGAACCTTGGGCAGCAAAGGCAGATCCAGGTATCCCAGCAGAGACTTAGGCCAGGGACCACTGGAGCCATGCTTGGCTCAGCTCAGGACACTGAGCTGAGCTGTGTGCTCAGAACTGTGACAGCCATATCTACTTGGTGTGGGGCACAGTAGAGACGGGGCCCTGTTATGTTAGTTCTAGTGGCCTGGTTCTCCCTTGAGAGCCCAGGCTGGCCCTGAACATGGACAATCCTCCTGCCTCAGCCTCTCATGTGCCCCCACAGTCCACTCAGCACAGCCTTTAGGTGAAGGAATGTGGACAGCCGTCCTGTGGGACACTTTGGCAAGGCCGACAGCCGCAGGACAGCTGCTGTGGAGACTGGCTGATGAGTCACAGGCAGGGACCGATGGGGCTTGCCTGAGGAACTCTCAGGATGACTGGGCTACCAAGAAAGGGAAGTTAAGACAAAGACAGGGAAGACACACGGGATGCCAGGCAGTGTGTCCACTGACCCACAAGAAGGGGGGTCCCAGAGCTGACACCCAAACTGAAAGAGGACCCTCTCTGAGACTCCATGACCACAGCATCTAGACAAAGAAAGCCAAGCTAGGCCCAGTGAGACCAGAAGCCTGGCCTAAACCCAGGAGCGATGAGGGGGCCATTTACAAGTAGAGCACGCAGGGCATTCATTTGTCCCCCTGTGCACTGTGATCAGACACAGACTGTCTGGAGGGCAGGGCCAGGGCAGGGGCAGGGCAGGGCTGAGGAACACAGAGGAAAGGTGACTGATGGCAGCGGAGGATCCAGGTGAAGGAGCCGGGGACGAGTTTGGGTGTGACGCGAGCTCAGAGCAGTTCCGAGTGCATATGGCCTGAGTCTCATCACCAACACTACCCAACCCAGAAACAAAACCAGGGTGCATGCTCCCTGTGAACACGGAGGCCAGGACCACACAGGACCAAGGGAGCACCAGAGCCGAGATGGGAGCACTCCAGGAACTGAGCTGGGAGTCAAGCGCTGAGACAGACTTAGGAGAATAAACCAAACGTACTTCATGCCACGCAATACGGGGCTCTGGAGAGAACAGCCAGGGGACGGCTGCAACAATCCAGCAAGGGCCTAGGACAGGCTGGGGCTCCTCACCTGCAGGCAGCTTCTTGGGTGGTGTGTCCTGCAGATCCTGCTCGCCCTCTGAGGACTCGTCAGTGTCACCATCATCACTGTCACCATCGTCACTGTCACCATCGTCACTGTCACCATCCTCATCGCCACCATCCTCATCGCCACCATCGTCATTGTCACCATCGTCACCGCCACCGCTGTCACCACCCGAGGCTTCGCCCTCTCCACTCTGTGTGTCCAGCTCATTCATGATGTCCTCTATGGCCAGGGGAGCCTGTTCCACAATCGTCTCAAAGATGCTCTGAAGGATCTTATGCAGAACGAGGGAGCTGAGGGTGAAGAAGAGGCCAGACAGCCCATTAGTGTGGACTCCCAGATGCCCTGTGACGCTCCCAGCATCAAGGACCAGTGGCCACTGCAGCCCGAGGGGACGGCGAGCTGTCCACCACTTACTCCTTAGTGCGGGCTGCTATCTGGCAGAAGGGGTCAATGAACTGCAGGTTCTGGTTCGCGGTGAGCTAGGAGGAAACCAAGAGATGGGAGGTGTGCTCAATGCTGGACACATGCACCATACCCCCACAGCCCTCACCCGAGCCCGCCTCACCTCTGCAGCACCCACTTTGGTCAGCTCTTCCAGAAAGATCTCTAGGAAGTGGCTCTTCACCCCACTAGGGGCCTGGCTTTCAGGGTTCAGTATCTCGGTGGTTAGCAGCTCCAGCAGCTGCTCAATATGTCTGAAGAGAGAGGAGGGAAGAACACTGTGGCAGCCATGCTGATGTAGGTCTGTGGTACCCTGTGCCCTCCACATGGGTTCTGGAAGGAACAGGCATGCGCAGGCAGATATCATCATCCACAAACACACCTGACCTTTCACACCCATACACAAAGACCTAAGCAGCTCTGGGTCTGAGCAGCACAAGGGAGTCCTGCTGGCCCAGGTCTGTGTGACACATGTCAGGAGTCTGGCTCTGGGCCACAAATATATGGCTGAATATACCAGAATATACACAGGCCTTCTGTATCTTCAAGACACAAGTGAAAATATGGTCACTGAGATGCTCTGCAAACCGATCCTCACTACTTGGAAAAGGTATCAGGTCAGGACAGACAAGAGGCAAAGAGGAAGGTACACTGACAAGGGCTGGGGCCATAGGCCCCCGACTGGCTCCCCAGGCCCTGCTGTATGCCGGTTGGTTGGAGGAAGCTATGCAGCTGTCACACTCTTGGGCACACAGGTTACACTGTCTCAGAGCCCTGGGCCTAGTACCTGAGGACACGCAGTCCTCAGTACTCGGTGCACCTGACACCCCTAACCAGTTGACAATGTAGTCTCTCCACCACCTGGAACTGTGGCATGTGCTGTCTCAGAACTCCCTGGACAGCTTCAGCAAACAGTCACTAACCACAGAAAAGTGATATTTTACCAGGCTCTGGGGGAAAGAAGCCAAAGGCAAGATGAGGCATAAAACTCAGAGAGAGACCAGAGTCAGATGAGCTCTAGATGACACTACCCCATGTGGCAAACACCAGAAACACCTGAGCCAGGCTGTGCCACATCAGACAAATACATCGTATGGGGCTCCGCCAAGGCCAGGAAGGGACCAGGGCCCTTCAGGGTGTGCTCCAAAACCAGCACTGTTACCACGAGGAAGTTGTGACAGTGAATCAAAGAACATTAACTAAATTAAAAATGCTACCATAAATTTTGTGTAAGTCACTAGGAACCCACAACTGAGTCTTGAAATGACTAAGAGACACAGGTCTCAAAGTCTCCAACAGCAATTAAAAAAGAAGTCACTCGAAACTAGGGCCAAGAGAGCCCTGAAGCAGGATAGCTCAGACCACCACAGCCCAGCATGTGCTCATTCTCTGAGAGGAGGCGGTGTGTGTGTCTGTCTGTCTGTCTGTATGTATGTATGTCTAGCTTTCACAGTGGATGTCTGATCTTGAGTGGTCTGATCAGGCCACAGCTCCCTGTCAGCACTGTTGACAACTTGCAATCACATCTTTTCTCCTAGGCCTTTCTCCTCTTGCTGCCATCAACAGGGCAAAAAGAAAAAAAAAAAAATCCCCGTGCAGTACCCTGTAGACACACTATGCAGACACACCCGCACTGCTCTGCGGGACTTCCAAATCAACTACTGTTGGGTGGGGTTAATCTTACTCTTTGGGTCAACCCGCATGGTGGTGCACAACTTTAATCCCAGCACTCAGTGGGCAGAAGCAGATCTCTGTGAGCTCAAGGCCAGCCTGGTCTACACAGTGAGTTACAAGCCAAGCAGAGCTATGAAGAGAAACAGCATCTCAAAAAAAAAATAAGAAAGAAAGAAAGAAAAAAAAGAAGAGGAAGAAGAAGAAGAGGAAGGAGAAGAAGAAGTGGAGTTGTTGATGGTACCTAAAAGTTAGGAAAAAAGTTGGAAAATTTCTACTTAAAAAAATGTTACATGAGCCGGGCGGTGGTGGCGCACGTCTTTAATCCCAGCACTTGGGAGGCAGAGGCAGGAGGATTTCTGAGTTCGAGAGTTCGAGGCTAGCCTGGTCTACCGAGTGAGTTCCAGGACAGCCAGGGCTACACAGAGAAACCCTGTCTCGAAAAACCAAAGGGGGGAAAAATGTTACATGAGAGGCTGGAGAGATGGCTCAGTGGTTAAGAGCACTGACTGCTCTTCCAGAGGTCCTGGAGTTCAATTCCCAGCAACCAAATGATGGTTCACAACCATCTCTAATGAGATCTGATGCCCTCTTCTGGTGTGTCTGAAGACAGCGACAGTGTACTCATATACATAAAATAAATAAACAATTCTTTATTTAAAAAAAAAACTGCTACATGAAAACATTTAGAAACCCACTTTGTGGTGTAGAACTCTGGCTGCCACAAGGGTTTGGAACCTGCTGCCCAAGCTTGGACAGAGACACAGGTGAGCAGGCCACACCTAGGAGTTAGCTCTCTACCTGGGTGTCCCAGAGGGCAGGATTAGAAGCAGAACCCCAGGGGAGCGGAAGCTACAGCCAAGGAAGTCAAGGTCAGATAAGAACACAGCCAACCATTGCTCGGAGGACATGGGCCACCTAAGCACTGTGGTCAAAAGGGGCCTGGATGAACCCGCTGGCAGCGCAGCTGCCCATACCATATGCCTGTTAAAGGGGAGGCCTTTGGCAGCACACGTGTTACGATCGACGTACACAATTCCAGTCAACTATAGAAATGACTGGGAGAACAGTTGGGGCAGGAGAATCTGAACCATTTCACCTCATAAAATTATCTTCATTCAGCACCACGTGTGGTACCAAGTTATGCAAAGGCTACCTGCCTACAACAAAGAATCACAAAAGGATCTCAGGACTCCTGGGATGAGCCAGAAAACGCAGGGCCAGGACCCTAGGCTGCCTGTGAGCCTGACTCTCGGGGTGGACCCACCTCTCTTCCCATCCTTGGATTTTCACAGCCTTTAGCGACTCATTCAGGACCATCCTCATGAGCTAGGATACAAAAGAAACTCACGTTAGGAAGAGGACAGTCTGCCAGTCAGGCTTCCCTGTGTCCCAGAAGCCAAGGCCACGGTCTGTCCCAAGGGGCAGAACTGGGCAGAGTGCTGCAGACAGAAGGGACATTGGGACATGGAACTAGGCCCTCAAGACCCTGGGCCTGGAGACCAAAGCTCTGGCACTTGGCTTCATGAACAACAGGAAGCCAGGCTCACCTAAGTGAGTGAGAACTATGAACTAGAGCTTACCAGAACGGTCAGGGCATGCACTGGGCTCTTCCCAGAGGAGGCAGAGTTACAACAAAGCCAAAGGTAAACCTGGGCCTCACTTCCCCTATTAAAAAAATACACTTAAAAAAAAAAATCTTTCAAAGAAAGAAATGGGCCCTCCTCATTGGCCAAGAGGAGCAAGACACCAGAGGAGAAGAAAGAAAACAGGAGACACACTGCAGACCAAGGGCCAAGTCCTCAGCCAGAAAAGGATCTTCACAGATGGGGGGACAAAGTCCCCTTTCTGCCATGTGCTAGGCCCAGGGCTCACTGGTGGTCAGAATGGCTTTACCTCCTTTAGGAGGGTTGAGGCAAAGCTCCTGCTTTGAACTCTTACTGGCCCTTAAGATGGGGACACTTCAGCTACAGCAGCCCTGCAGCCGAGTCCATTCCAAACCAGCCCTTGCTAACTCCCTCAGCCCGGTGGCTCGTGGGTCCCCTGCTTTGGTGCCACGTTTGTCTCACCATGTAGAACTTATCCAGGCGCAGTCTGTCAATGCCCACCCACTCCCGGATCATGGTCTGCCAGAAGGCCCGCAGGAACAGGTGCTCTAGGACAGAGAGAGGACAGACACATCAACCCTGGAGCCATGAGGAGGGAGAGGGGGGACAGCACAAACCTACAGAATCCTTCACTCATTCACAGGGCTCAGGGGTGAGGGTTTCCAGGCTCCACAGGAAAAAAACAAAACAAAAAACACTCAAATCAAGCTCACTCTGTTCTCTGAACAAATACACAAAGAAGCAAGTGCTGGGAAAAGGAGTGTCTACTGGGGACATATCTTCCCTAGGCCTCTTTGTCCCTGCCTTGGCTTGGACTAAGGCCCTCCTGACACCCAAGTGAGACCCTGAAGCCTGGCACTCGCCCAACTAGGTCCAATAACACTGCAGGTAACAGATGAGTCAGATATAGGATGCAGAGTCTGAAATGTGCCCCCCAAAATCTTACAGAGAAGCTCTAAACCACTGATACTTCAAAAATGTACCTGGAGTGAACAGGGGGTCCCTGCTCAGGGTACTAAAACAGGTCTTGAGGGTACACCCATCTACTCAGAATCTCTCAGAGAAGGTGCCATCCTAAGACAGGAGGAACCAGCCCTGAAGCCTTGGTACTGGGACACAAGGAAGACAACTTCCTCTTCTCTACAAAATTCTACACCAGCAAAGGGCTGTTTGGATGGCTCAGCCCTGGTGGCCTGGTCACCAGACTACCAAGTGGTCACTTCAGCTTTGATTCAGCAAAGCAACGTCCCTGCCAGTCCTCAGAGAGCAGGGAGCTCTGGTCCACTCTCTCTTTCACACACAGTTAAAGAGAGATCCGGATGTCATGATACACATCTGAGATGCTAACGTCCAGGGAAGGTGAAAAAGATCCCAAGTTCAAGGCCAGCCTGAGCGACACAGTGAGAACCTGTCTCCATAAAGAGGGGATGGGGGAAGGGATTCTCCCAAACTGAGATGTGCACATATCCCTCAACTTGCCAACTTCAATCTGATATAGCTAAAGCCCAGCTCGCTGAGGACAGGGGCGAGTGTGAGCATCCGGCTTCCCTGTCAGGACCGCCCTCAGACACGCTATGCCCCAGGGCTAAGCTAGCCTGAGGCAGGGTCTGGACCTCAGGATGTTTTAAAGGCTGCCTAAGCAATTTCATCAGGCAGGCGGAATGTGGGATACCGATGGGAATCAAAAAGCTAGAAAACACACAAGACGGTGATTCTCAATCCGTGAGTCTCCACCCCCTTTGGAAATCAAATGACTCTTTCACATTGGTCACCTAGGACCATTGGAAAACACAGAGATTTACATTACAATTCATAACAGTAGCAAGATTACAGTTATGGAGTAGCGATGAAAATAACTTTATGGCTGGGGGCCACCATGACACAGAGGAGCTGTATTAGAGGGTAGCAGCCTCAGGAGGGTTGACAGCCACTACACTTAAGAAAATGGGTGTCATGGCCGTCAGCTAAACGCCATGGGATCACACCACCAGCTGTCATACGCCATACCACTGCCTTTCATTCTTTTAGTCACATCTGTTTGGTAAACTGAGTGAGGCTGGCTGGGCACCGGGCTGTGTTGCACTCCACAAGCACCCACACAGCCGCCTCCCTGCAGCTTGCGTGAGGTTTGAGAACACACTGCTGCTGCATCAGTCCCCCTGGATCGCAGCGACTCTGGTGTTGACAGGGCCAGGCCTGGCTTCTGTGTGGTACTCACGTGCCTCCATAGTCTGAAAAGCATGGACAAGCTGGGCAATGGTCGTTCCTAGTTCTTCCTGTGAGGGAGACAGGAAGCACACCCTCAGGCCTTGAAGCACTGTGCTCTGACAGCAAACACTACCAATACACTTCAAAGGCCGTGTCTCCTTGCTCGCAAAAGGCCTACTCTGCAGGAGACATCAGACTTTCTCTATTAACAGCAGGAGTCAGTGTTGGCCATGTTAAGGGGTGGGGGGACTACACACATGCTTCTCAGTCCCCCACCAACTCCTGTGAAGGTTTTTTCAGCTACCTTCCCATGCACCCACCTGCTGGAGAGGCTTGTCCTGCATCCACATGCAATAAAACAGTCCTTTCCATACTTTTATCAGTTCATCTGGAGTAAAACCACCTGCATCACAAAAGCAATAGTGAGACTCGGTGAACCCTGAAATCTACCTTTCCGAGCCAG